GTAACAAACTCTAATATGAAAAGAGTTATTGGAACCGAAAATAATTCGGTTAATAAGCCAAGTATCGAATGTCTGGACTCTTCAGCTGATGATGATTCCCCAGACTGTGTAAGGAGTTGATCCTCTCACTCTCTGAATCCGATTTCTAGATCTCTCTCTGATCCTCCAAAAGTCCAACCCTAAACTCTGTTGAGTTTGTTGATATTTATAGGGAGATTAGGGGTGTAACTGCCCCCATAATCCGCTCCTAAATGAGGGTTTAGTTACCTCATTAATCGGTTATAACAACCCACGTAAATCACTCCTCAGATCGAAATTGCATGGATCGTGTTTGAATAGGTCAGAACTTTGACTTGCGTTCTGGCATAGATTCTGCGCTTGAACGCAGCATATGGAAGTGCGTTCTGCAGCGATATTGAGCTGCGTTGTGCAGCGATGTGGAGCTACATTCTGCAGCGATGTAGAGCTACGTTGTGCAGCGATGTAGAGCTGCGTTGTGCAGCGATGTGAATCTGCGTTCTGCAGCGATGTAGAGCTGCGTTCTGCAGCGATGTAGAGCTGTGTTGTGCAGCGATGTGAAGCTGCGTTCTGCAGCGATGTAGAGCTGCATTCTGCAGCGATGTAGAGCTGCGTTCTTCGATGTTGTGGAACTGCGTCTGGCGTCGGTTGGAGCTGCGTTGGGCAGCGAGTAGAGCTGCGTTCAGCGGCTGATTTAAGCTGCGTTCAGCGGCTGATTTAAGCTGCTTTCAGCGGCTGATTAGAGCTGCGTTTTGTCTATCTTTATATATGGATGGCACCAATGACCAGTAGAGAAGACTATTTGTGACACTTGAGACACCCCAATAACGCTCTATTAACCGCGGATCACGATCTCCACTAAGACCTCTTTGCATGGCTTTTAACCATGCACTTCTCAGCATGTCGAATATTTGCCCACAGTTCTCTAGATCTTCCTGCTTTTCTAAAATCATTACACTGCTTATCAGCATCTCTAATAGTTGGTAATATAATGTTAGTCATGTTGTTGTCGCAGCCATCAAGATTAATCATCTAAAACATGGAACTGTGTCGATAACTGAGGATGCAATGATTGCGGTGCTTCGTCTTTTGGAGCGTAGCCACTTGTGTTTTGACTATAGGGATGGATTCTATCTCTCGATTTCTTCATGGTCCATAGGGGCGTCCCTCGATTGTAGCTTTCTGTTGGTAATAAGAAAGTCTTTGATTGTAACTTTCATTGTTAGAGCTTAATAGGGATCAGCTATCCATTGTGATTTTTTAGACAGCCTACAGAACCCCCTCCAAAGTTTTCGAAAGTTCGCGGTTGACTAGGACGAATTTTCGGAATACTTTGGATCCTAAAATTTTGCTGATTGAATGCATCTCATCACAGACTGAGTGGAGCATCTCAGGGTCCTAGACAAATTTGTTGACATCCTCTTTTAGTTCGTCAATAATGACTTGGACTTTAGCCTGTCTGACCAAGTTGAGCATTTTCTGGCTTAAGAGCAATCTATTATCGTAGACAGAGAGGACCACATGCTTGTATGAAAATGTTTTCATCCCCAGCTTAGTCAGGAAGACAGCCTCGGAAGAATCCACCACATCATCTTTCTTGATCAGCTCGTTTGGGGTAAAATGATCTCAGCCGTCTGGTTATTGCTTGGAATATTAACCCCTTTGAAGGGGTTAGTTATGTGATAGGTGGAGGTTGGTCACTAGAACGCATGTCTAAATCATGCGTTCAACTGTCTGAATGTGAGGGTGCGTTCAGAAATTGAACCCCCCCTTTTTTGAAAACGCGAGAATCACGTTTCGGGTGAGATTTTGCCTAGAATCCCGTATCGATTTGACAGCTATAGCTGTGTATAAATGGGCTACTGAGGTCAAATCAAAAAGTCATTCGACTTTTTCCCCTTCTTACTCTTCCACCGATTTCCAAACAGAGCTCCTGTTCATCTTCTCCAGCATTTCGACAGGGGAAAGGATTAATTCCTAAATACCTCGTCCACCCATCTCCATCTTCCTCGTCACGATTGGAATGGGCCCCAAGAAGAAAATGGCTTCCAAATCGAAGATCGCCCAGGCTCAGGGTGTTCCTTCGGCTAGAACCTCCGGGGATGATCAAATCACTACACCTTCGTCTCCGGTTTCCTCAACTAATGGTAAGATTGAGCCATTGTAAGTTGCTTTGACGGATTTCTCATCCTCGACCCTTGATTGGCGATCTGTATTCCATCCTTGGACTCGAGAGATAATTCTCAGTGTTTATCCATTTTAGGAAAACGCATGGTTAGCTCCATCGTTCATAAAATTTCAACGCAGGTCTAGACCCTGCGTTTAAAAAATTTTGGATGCGAGTTGAGACCCTGTGTTTAAGGATCCGGACGCAGGTCTGAACTTTGCGTTTAAAATTTGGGCGCGGGTTCAGACCCTGCGTTTAAAGATCCGGACGCAAGTCTAATCCTTACGTTTAAAATTTTGGATGCGGGTTTCAAACCCTGCGTTTAAAGATCCGGACGCAGGTCTAAACCTTGCATTCTTGTATTAGACTTCTTCTGACTGATTTTTTTCTTTTTGCAGTGTGCTACTCTAACGAGCCTCTTTCCTTCAACTACTACTTCGGTCATGCGGGAGGTGCGGTAAAGAATACAATCTTCAGCTTTGCCTTCGAGTATCCAATATTCCAGGACACCCACAAAGAGCGGGCGAAACTCATTACTCAAGATTTTCCCGAGACTCTCAGGTCTTTGGTTACGGATGCTAAATTTGAAACCGCAGAGCGTGAGATTTTAAAGAAGCCATCCTTCCTCTTCGGGGATTCTGTAAAAATAGATCCCAAGCGGATGTCCGAGGGGAATTATAAATGGCTGAAGGTCGTCAACAACCGTCGTCTTTTCCTTCCTAATTTGGAGCGAATGTGGCCGATCTCTTATTATCAGTACGCTTCTATTCTGTGGTCGATGAATTGGGAGCTCGTTCAGGACCAAGGCGGTGTTGCTACAGGGCACATCACTCATCGGGGCACTCATCCGGCTGGTTTCAATAATTTTATGGCTTTAAAACCAGGTTTATTCCAAAAAGAGCATCCTGTTGGAGAGTCTGCTAAGTTGGCAGAGGTGTTCATTAGAAAATTTATCTCTGTCAAAGGAGAGTTCCCTGCTCAGGATTTTAGGGTTCCTACATGGGTTCACTCCAGTGATACAGACTGGTGGGCCCAGATGATAAATTTCGTCTTGGAGGAACTAGAAGAACCTTTGAGGATTTCGGAGTTAAAGGTTCCAATAATGGCTACCCGATACGGAATTTCTCCAAATTATAGCGGGCTCTTTGCTATGCTGGAATTCTACAATCCTCACACCGGCACCTTTTTCACCCCAGTTGGTGAATTAGGCTTCGCTCTTCACGAGATGTTTGAGATTTCTGGATTGTCTTTTGGTGAATTGCCGTATGAAGAGTTTGTTCCCGGCAATAGGGAATTAGAGATCCTGAAAAATGGTGCTCCCGAAATCTACAACACTTATTGGGAATTGATGTGTCATTTCCAGATATGTGCACAAACTACTGGGAAAAGAGCAGGCGGCGTGAAACAAGGCCAGTGGACGGAGTATCTTTTCCAAAATCTGTGGGACAAGGAAGCTGAGGTGACTCGTTTAGCTGCCAGTACTCTCGAGGAAATCACAGAACGCATCAATGACACAGCCTCTCATTATACTTGCGAGGTAGAGGAGGATGTCTTCCCAGCGTTCACCACGTTCGAAAGCTTCCACTATCAGGCAGAAGTCCCGATCTCTGACATGGCTTTGTTTGCTGGTTTTCTGACTCTTTGGTTGAAGCGTTGCGTGGTACCCACAAGACCGGTGGATGCTATTACGGTAGAGGTCTTATACCCCGCTGTTCTTTTGGCTTATGGACGGCCCTTGAATCTTCTTTCAGCCATGGTGTGCTGCTTAAAAAGTGGCTTGCGGGAACTATCTTCCGAGTTTATTGCTGTCAAGAAGTTGGACTCCGACGAGAAGACTATCATTCAAACCCCAACCCCTCGAGTGCCGATGCCGTACATTTATTTGGTGTCTTGGTTTGTATTGCACTGCCCTTCGATAATGTCGACTCCTGAATCAAGTGGTACCTCAGCTCCTCTTGTTCAGTAATTAGAAACCTCTCAATGGGTTGGTTGGTATCAAGTTAAATTCCGTGAAATATTTAGACGGGACTATAATTACGAAATTGCTTGCAAGTTTCCCACTTTCGAGGGCGGTGCGTACGGAGAACTTCATCAAGACACTCCGGGACCGAATTCTTTCACCATGCTCAGTAGAGGTGCCTTTTGGTGGCTCATAAACATTCGCCCAGGTTATCTTATCTTTCGACAAGGGAGGAAGTGCTTTATTGAACCATATAAGCCTTATCGCTTTTCTCGACAATTTGGCTATGATCAGATTTATGTTGGGAATCCAAACCCTACTCTTGCGTTCACAGGTAATGTGTATGAAGGAGCAAGGGCTTGGTATTACTCGGTAGCAGGATGTACAGGAGCGAAATTCCGGCTGCCGCACAAGATGCCCAACGTTCGTACTTCTTTAAGCTTTTGCACGTGGTACTAAGCTGCCTCTCAAATTTCAGCTTACAGCATGAATACCTCTTGCTTGAGAGCCATCCGCAAATGGTATGCCTCAAAGAAGAGTGCTAAAAGGTTCCGTGCTCGTGGTGCTAACGAATATTTATCATATGAGAAGTCGATTACAGAGGACGAACGGCAACAATCACCAGAGCAAGTTCAGGAAGAGGTCAGGATGCCGGATACTCGCGAGGTGGAACCTTCAAGAGTTCAGACTCGGAGTAAGAGTGCCACTGGAAAAAGAGCATTGGGGCCGGTTGAAGAAGCCAAGTATGACAAAAGAGCTCGTCGGAAGTTAGCGCTTGAGCCCCCTGCTTCTAAACTTATGTCGGATGCTCAGAAAGCATGGCATACCGAAGAAGAAGAATGAGAATCAACTGCTATGGAACTCTCGCCTCAGCCTGGTCTCCCCAATGTTGGTCCATCTCTAAGAGGCCCTGCCTCTTCTGCACATTTATTGAATGAAGAAGAACGTGGGGATGAATCATTTGCAGGGGGTATGGAGTTTGCCCCTGAAGACACGCTTCATGATACTGCCTCCACTGCCCCTCGTGTTGAAGAAGATATACTTCCTGTCCAAGAGCCTACTGTGACTACCCAGCAAGATTCAGTAACGGACAAGTCTCCCTCTGTTTCTGTGTTACTACCCCCTGTAGGAGGTACACAGCCAAGCCCTATGACTGGAGTCATATCAAAACCTACTATCACCGAGGATCCACTAGCATTTCCTTCCGTAGATGAAGATGAGCCTATAGACCATAGCGATGGTGCGGATGCCACAGATGATGATGGAGACCAGAGTGGGAACAATGACAACCTGGGTGATGACAGCGATGATCCCGATGACTGGGATATTCCACCACCATCTTCTTCCGACAAAGCGTCAGCCTACATTCCTCTACCTCTCACTGGTAAGTGTCGTTTGTTTCGACTCGCGACTAATCTTGCTCTGTATTTAAACAGTTTTCTCATACAGATCCTATGATACATGAGACGAGTACTGTCACCCCTCTTTCGACGCAACAGCTTATTCCACCACCAGCTCAGGTGTCAGAGCCACCTCGCTTGGAGGTCTCAACGACGACCCTCCCACCGACAACCTTATTGACAATTTCTCTAGCCTCTACAGAAGTGATAGACATGCCAAGGTCATCTAACATGGGGGAACTGATGGCTCTGCAATCAAGTCCATCTCAACTGGATATCGGCGTTCCTTCTCAAGCCACTACGCCGAAGTCACCTGCTGGTCTTTTACTTGGCTCTGTGTCTTCAGAAGTTTCTGTGCCGTCTCCCATAGCTGTTTTGAGTGCCAGATTTTCTCAAGATTTCTCTTGACTATTTAGAAAGTCTCACTAGGAAGGTGATTGAGGTCGTATTGGCTGGCCGAGATACTTTTGAAACCTTCAAGCCTATGATCACAAATAGTTTAAACAACCTTAAGTTCGTGGGTGAAGCCCACGTCGTCCAGCGTTGCTCAGAAGCTATTTTGCGCCTAGAGGCACAACTAAGGTTCTTGGAGGCTTTAGGTCGTGTTGATATCCAGGCGCAGATTGCATCCACATTCGAGGATATTCGGGCCGAAGAAGTTAATAAGTATGAAGTTGCTTGACGTCACATAGCAGAGCAAGAGGTCGAGGTGGAGCATCTGCAGCAACTGCATGCTCAAAAGCAAGCTGAGCTAACACTATCCAACACTTCTTTGGAGAATTTACGAGAGAAGATCATTGCCGCTGAAGCAGAGTTGACTAGGATGAAGGCTCAATTCAAACGAGAAGAAGCCATCGTCACTGAGCTCAACGTCAAAAGTGCTACCTCTCTGGTGAATTATCGCACAAAATCTAGTGCTCTGGACGAGGCTAAGAAGGAGGTAGATGCTATGCTGTCTAGTGAGGACGAGCTTCGGAAACGGGCCGAGATGCTGGTTCGGGCTGACCATGAAGGAAAACTTTCAGATATTAAGTCTCAGCTAGCCTCATTCAGTCTGATGAATTGATGAGCCTACTTTTGTATCGTTCTTTTGGTAGGAACAACACTTATCTTAGACTTTTTTTTCTTTTGAATAAGGATAGTGTTGCCTTTTTGGCTTTTCATTGTTTCTTTTTCATATCATGTTTTGACATGGAACCATGAAATACCAGTTTGATATTGCGACAACAACTATTTATTCCTCCTGTATTATGTTTTTGCTTTAAATACTGGAAGAATCTTGTAAGTGCCAGGAATGTAATATCAACGTGGCACACTTTGTGATCCCGTCGCCCTATTATTAAGAGTCGACAAGTGGAAGGTGTTGCAATCGGTGCAACTTTAGGGACCTATCGCTCTATTGACGAGATTAAGAGTCGACAAGTGGAAGGTGTTGCAATCGGTGCAACTTTAGGGACCTATCGCTCTATTGACGAGAGTCGATAAGCTAGAAGTGTTGCGTTCGGAGCAACTTTGAGGACCTTGAGGACCTATCGCTCTATTGACGAGAGTCGATAAGCTAGAAGTGTTGCGATCGGAGCAACTTTGAGGAGGGTGAAGTTCAAACTTCGTCAAATATTTTGTTTTAAATTCTGTAGAAGTTTTAAAACTCAAACATCATATTTTCCAAAAATCTGATTCTAGAAATAGGGGTACCCCCCTGCGTTCATGCTCTTGAGTTGGGTTGCGTATTTTTGGAAGAACGCATCTCCAGACTACTGCGTTTAGTCAGGCTTTATGGACGTAGGGATTTGTCCCGCGTCTAATCGGTAGTCCAAGCGACTGCAATGATGACGAAGAGGCTTCTCTCATCGGGAGTCTTGGAACTCTACATCCATATTAATTATTTATAAATAGGGCTGATTAGTCATGTCAAAAAAGCTTTAACGTTTAAGCTTCTTTCTTGAACTCCCAAACGAGTTTCTTCTCGTTAATTCTTCTACTATTTCGCTTCGTCTTCTGGCCATGGCTTCCAAGAAGTCTTGCTCGAGCGACGACGACAAGATGGCGTACCCTATACCACCGTCAGAGAATGCTTTTGGGTCCTCTTCTGGACCGACATCGATGCCTCCGACGCCTGGTCATCGAGGTAAGTCTCGCTGTCTTCTTCGTTTTAAGCATTCCTTGTCAATGGGTTTTCTTGAAATTCTCTAGATGAATTCTGATTGATGATGACGAATAAAATTCGTCTTTTCAATCTTGAATGCGAAAAGAACTTGCATGTCTTTTGACGAAAACTGTTCATCTCTTTGATTCTGGACGATAAAAGAATTTCCTGTGTCCATCGTCGTAACGAAGGGTCAAACCCTTAATGTTAAACACACGTGGACGATAAAAGAATTTCCTGTGTCCATCGTCGTAACGAAGGGTCAAACCCTTAATGTTAAACACACGGAGAAGTTTCTGTGTTCATCGACGAAAACTATTCGAAGGGTCAAACCCTTAATGTTAAACACACGGAGAAGTTTCTGTGTTCATCGACGAAAACTATTCGTCTCAGAAGCGAACAACATTCCTGCGTTCTTTGATCTTGAATGCGGAAGAGAATTTCCGTGTTTATTGATAAGATGAAGGGTTGATCCCTTAATCTTGGATGCAGGCAGAAAGATGAAGGGCTGATCCCTTAATCTTGGACGCAGGAAGAAGTCTTGCGTTCATAGCGATTCAACGCGGGTCTAAATTCCTTGCGTTCAGGCTGATCTTGACGCATGTTTAACTTACTGCGTTTGCATTCATTTGCTTTTCTGACTTTGCTTTGATTTGTCTGCCAGGTGGGGTTCCTGCTGCTGCTGCTCCCCTTATTATTCCCGAAGATGCTCCTCTCATTCCACCCATCTCCGTGATCTTCCCGCACGAGGATTTCGAGCGGGTGACTGATGAGACTGTTCGTTTGTCGCCCCATTGTACCCTTTTTCTCTCCAGACGTTTTGAAAATCTGGTGAGGCACGCTTTCTTCATTGTGATGCACAGGTGGGGTTCCTTCCTTGAGTTTCGAGCGCCTATCGTAGAAGGGTTGAAGGCTCTTGCGGAAGTCAACCCCCTCTATGCTCAACGTTTTGATGAGACGATATACCGATACTCGGGGGCCGCTCGTTACCTAGAGGAGCTGCAGCACACATATTTAGAGCCTAAAATCCAATGGGCCATCAGCAACGCTAGGCTGAGGGAGAGAGTTGCCGCTAGGGCCCGAGCTTTGGATATTTCAGAGAGGAAGGCTCGTATCTGGAGCTTGCAGAAGCAACGTTGCCAAGCCAGGGCCAGACTGAATGCAGGGGAGCTAACCCAGGAGGAGTTCAGCCTTGGGGATGCCACTTTTGAAGCAGAAGTTCAAGCTGAAAAGGAAACCATACAGGTGCTGCAACGGGAGGCTTCTGCTGCTGCTGCGGTTCCTGATGTAGAGCTTTGTAAGAGAGTTAAAGAAGAAGTGCTGGCGAAGCACGAAAAAGCTATATCGAATACAGAAGCTTATCTTCTGAGCTTCTCTTTACTCTAAGCCCCAGCAACTCCTACTTTTGTTTTGATTTTGTAATAACTCTATGTTATTTCTTCAAACACTTATTATCTGCATGAAATGAACTGCTGCTGTTTTTCTTGCTTTTTCTGTGTTTGTTTGGAATGTTGCAGTCTTGTTGTGATGTTGAGATTTCTAAAAATTATCTCACTGCGTTTGAATGATTTGAACGTAGGCTTATTGAGGACGCATGGTTTCGTCTTTGCATCCAAATAAGTTTGAACGCAACTCCAAGGCTAGACTTGCGCTCAGAGAGATCTGATGCATTCTAATTTGCTGAAGATTCCTTTTACTGTTGTTAGGGTAATCTCTGAAAGTTTCTTCATTGTTAGTTGAAATTTTGTGCTTGAACGCACTCAACGTGGGTCTGCCCCTTTATAGGAACTAAGAACGCAGGGTTGAAACTTGCGTTCGGGAGATTTGAAACGCAGTTATAGAACTTGCGTTCGAGGAAGCTAGACGCTCTTTCCTCCAACCTTGGGTACGCCTCTTAGGTTGCTAAGACTTTTCCACTGAACCAAATCAATACAACAACTTAAGAAACTTTCTTTATTATAATACTTCTCGACAACTTAAATCGTCAGAGGTGTAATGTTAACTTGACGACATACAAAGTAGGAGAACTTATTTGTTCATACAAACATTTGATGGGCAACTCCCAGCTAAGCTTAAGAGACTTGCAGTTTATGGGTAATATTTCTTGAGAAATTTTCCATTAATTGGCATCATGAGTCTGTCACATTTTTTATTGATGAGACGATAAGCTCTGTTGGAATAGACTATCTCTACCACAAAGGGTCCTTCTCACTTAGGATTAAACTTTCCTTTGGTTTTATGGGTCATCACCATAGGTCGTCGATTAGCCAAAACCAAATCGCCTTTCTTGAAAATCCGCTCCTTGACCTTTTTATTGTAGGCTTTAGAGATGCGGGCTTGATATAGTTCAATCTGTTGCTGAGCTTGAAGTCGTTTGTCGTCTAAAGCTTCAAGTTCCTGCAAGCGTCGTTGGTGTTTCTCTTCATCTGTCAGTCCGGTTGTGATAGCGACTCTTAAGGAAGGGATTTGGATTTCTAATGGCAATACGGCTTCACAGCCATACACCAAAGAGAATGGCGTAGCTCTTGTAGGGGTCCTCACTGTTGTGCGGTAGGCCCACAAACATTCGCCGAGTCTTTCGTCCTAATATCGTCGGCTCTTGGAGACGAACCTTTTGAGGAGCTTCATGATAGTTTTGTTAAAGGCTTCTGCAAGACCATTCGCTGGCGGATAATATGCCGTGGATGCCATACTTTGGATGCGAAATTTATCACATAATCTCTGAAATCCAAAACTAACGAACTGTGTCCCGTTGTCGTGAACTATTCGTCTCGGGACTCCAAAGCGATAGATGACGTGATGTTTAATAAACTTGATCACATTCTTTGTCTTGACTTCTCTTAATAGGATTGCCTTCGCCCACTTGGAGAAATAATCGGTTACGGTCAAAATGAACCGGTGTCCTTTGGAAGTCGGAGGAGAAATTGGTCCCACAATATCCATGCCCCACATTTCAAATGGCCAAGTTGCAGATGTATGATGCAGATTACCCGGCGCTTGATGGATAAAGTCCCCATGAATCTGACATTCGTGACAGCGTTTAGCATAGTCGACCGCGTCTGCGAACATCCTCGGCCAATAATAACCGATTCGTCGGAGACGATCGCCTAATTTAGCTCCAGACTGATGAGCTCCGCACATTCCGTCGTGAGCTTCCTTAAGGGCCTCTTTTGCTTCTTTCCGGGAGAGACATCGAAGCAAAACTCCGTCATGTGATTTGCGGTATAGGGTTTGAGAGACCGCATCATAATAGAATTGGAGG